ATATATATATATATGTATGCACGACACAAAAATATATACGCGCAGCAAAATGAGAATGCGTGCATGCATACACCACAAAGTATGTATATACCCACCATACCTTCCTCTATACACACCACAAGGTGTACGTACACCCCAAGCTACATTGGCCCCACAAGGGGAGATACGCCTCCAGCCTACAGGCTGTTGCCATTGAATCGGACGGGCCTTCTATCCCACTGAACAGCAGCACCAGCAGCACCAGCAGCAGCTGCTGCTGGTGCAGCTGCTGCTATTGCAGCTGCTGCTGCCGTTATACCTGCTCTGCTATTGCAGCGCCTGCTGTTGTACCTGCTGGTGCTATTGCAACTGTTGCTGCTGTTGTACCTGCTGCTGGTATTTGCAGCTGTTGCTGCTGTTGTACCTGCTGCTGCTATTGCAGCAGCTGCTGCATTTGCTGCTGGTATTGAAGGTCTGTTGTGGGGCATCACTGCGCCCACCCGTCCCTCCGCAACAAAAATGATAACAATTTCTACATTGTAGCTTAGCTGCTGTATTTACTGCAGCAGCAGTAACAGTTCCTTCTCCTGCTGCTCCTGCTATTGCTGCTGTATGATGGTTGGTGTGCTGCTGCAAGAATCTCAACACCACCACCACCACCTCCCTTGTCTCATCTCCAGCTATCAATCTTTCGTTGATGTTTTCCTCCTAAGGAACTCCCTGCTCTCTTCAATCGCGCTAGTCATTTTTCTCTCGGATCTCCCTTCTTCGGTTGTGGCTGTAGCTGGCCTGATTTGATGGCAGCGGCAATATACTCAAGCTCTACAGGCCCCGATATATCATTTGTTGATAGAGAAGGGCCCCCCCTATGGTCTTTGGAGTCCTTCTTATGCTCCTCGGTGGACCCCTCTATTGCGGTGCTTGATTGAGCGCTCTCCTTATCACCATGTAAAGGAAACTCCGGCGGATTTTCCGGCTGTTGCTGCGGTGGGACCCATGGCTCAGATCCAGCAGCCGCTTCCTGAAGAAAATCAACCGAGGGTGTAGGGGACATTGCAGGAGTAGGCTCGGGGGGCTCCACACCTCCCGACGAAGGAAGAGGCTCGGGGGAACCCGTATCCACAGGACCACTGGAGACCCACACATCTTCCCCCACACCACCCTCTGCTTGAGGTGCGGGAGAAACGAACCCAGCAAGGTCCACCGTAGGAACAGGCTGGGGGGCACCCGTGCCCACAGAACCACTGGAGACCCACATATCACCATCTTCCTTAGGAGGGGAAGCAAAAGATCCAAAAGGGTTCAGCGCAGAAGCAGGCTGCGCGGCTCCCGTATCCACAGAACCACGGGGGACCGACACATCACCATCTTCCTTAGGAGGGGAAGCAAAATATCCAAAAGGGTTCAGCGCAGAAGCAGGCTGGGGAGCCCCCGTATCCACAGGATCACGGGGGATCCACACATCACCATCTTCCTTAGGAGGGGAAGCAAAAGATCCAAAAGGGTTCAGCGCAGAAGCAGGCTGGGGGGCACCAGCATCCACAGAACCACGGGGGGCCGACACCTCACCATCTTCCTTAGGAGGGGAAGCAATGA